CGGTTTACTTGGGTATTTGCGTATTTGGCTCCTTTAATGTGCGTCGAGAAAGCGACTAGCGCGCGGTAACGCGAGTTTGGTGTTTGCTGTATTTGTCGAATAGACAAACAAGGCAAGTACTTTGTCACATTTGCCATCTACACATGGGATTGTTTGTCAAACGCGTAACGTACGCAAATACAAATTGCCATGTGAAATGCCACCTTTACGGAAGTAGATAGCTTTGTAGTTATAATTGTATGTACAGACGACGCACTATGATATCTGACCCCCTAACTGGCCTTTTGGTTCTGAGAACCTTATTACGCATTCAACAGAAAAGTGTAAAGAAATTTAAGCCTTCTGGTTGAAACATCATGGCAAACCAAGTATAAAAACAATAACAGTTTTTATTTCATTGTCTTTGTTTTCTTTATTGTCTATTATATGTATTGAAGTCCGATGCTCAACCGTTATTTTTCTCTAAGAAATATTAATATACAGTCCTCACCAAGAATACACGACGTACAGAAATTACATATGGCTAAATTTATAGAAAAATATGTGTACTTTGTTTATTTAAACTATGCTTACTGAGTTAGCAGTGCCACCTAAAGCACTTATAATGCGAACAATAAGAAAGAAAGAAAGTAGCAGTAGAGTTCCTTGTGAAAGAGTTCGTCCAGGGTAGTACTGCCATTTTACTTATTTTTGTCGCCAAGCAGTAATGTCAGCATTACTGTGATCCGGTTTTGAAGGGTAAGGGTGCTGGTGAAATTTCAGGCACATGGGACTTGTCAATTTATGTCTCAGTGTGACGGCGGTAGTGACAGTGCCCCTCAGATCTATTGGATTTAAAGCTCTGAGTGGCACTGCAATTGTTATGGACAGGCGTGGACCTTACCATCAGGGATAAGACTTGTTCGTACCGTCAGTTGATACTTGAATAAGTTATTGACTTAAAAAGTCATTCATCTTAAATCGTCATTCACTATTGACTATGCAATAAGGAAGTTACAATGAATAACACTTAACTTATGAAATGAAGATGTATATAATACCGATAAGTAGCGTACATTATTAAATGACATTATTAAATACTTGTACGAACTGCACTTGCAAGTAGCTTTTGGAACAAGTATATAGTAGGAGGTCGAAGAAGCTATTCTTCGATTTACTACTATATACTTCTTTCGTTGCGCTGGCAGCAATTCGCCTGGATACGGACGTCTCAGGAGGAAAAATTCTCAGGTTAATAATAAACTATTAAAACACATTCACGCTATTTAGCCATTTTTTGATGCACACAGTTCAATGTCATAGATTAGACGCGTACATTTAGCGAATGAGTCAAAAATGGAGGCAAGACAAACATTATTTGAATTTTAACCCTGTAAAGTATGTATGCGACCCTGGTAACTTGCAATTTGCGCACAGAGATTTAGAGAATGAAATGTGATATATACAGTCCCCTGCTTATGTATATAAGTGGGCACCGAGTTTCTGGCGCTAATTGATTTTAGGTTGTCTATGGGTTCCGTGTACGTAAAACGTGTGAAAGGGTTGATGATGATGATGAATAAAACAAAATACGACAACTCGCTATCATGATACATTTTCATCAATTACTTTTAATTCCAATTAAAGCGTAATTGCTGCGAATACAATTCAGATACTGAATAATTACACTAATTTTGTAATAAACCCTTACGACATAGCTGAAAGGTATTTATTTATAGCTCAGGCGTTCGGGGAATTCGCAATAAGTCGTTTTCAATCGTTGAGAAATAAAGACGATTAACTCACTCGTCTCGGTATCGCTTTATTGAAGACGACATTGAAGGTGACTTTGGCTTAAAAGCTCGAATTTTATATTGTTTGAAATGGAAAACTTTTTCAGTTTTTGTCTAGGAATTCGATAATTGTTCTACAAATGATACACTCAATCTTGACACTTAAGAGAATTAAACTCTATGTCATATACGATACCCATACCCATGTCATTTAAATTTTCTTCTTAGCGTGCCGCTTCTCTGCGAAAGTTGGCAACCATCATGGCTATCTCATTTTTGAAGCTGCCGCATGAAAGAGGGAACGTGTGCTAAGGTGGAACCAGTTTCTCAGGTTCTTCAACCACGAGGTTTTCCTTCTGCCTCGACTACGTTTTCCTTGTATTGTTACCTATCAGTAATCCGAACTGACATTTTCCAGAAATAACGTTTGCTCGAATTTCTTGTTGCGAAAGTTGACAAGTCCCACGTGCTTGTAACTTCATCAGCACCCTTACTCTTCTAAATGGCAGAAATAGATAAGGTGGCAGTACTTCCCTGAACGAACTCTTTTACAAGGAGCTCTATTGCTAATATAATGATAATAAAATACATAAAAAGCAAATAATGATAAAAACTGTCCAAATTCCAAAGCGTCAAATTTGACGATATTCGGCGGTGTTACGTTGAGTATGATCCCATACGGCGCTGTACGGGGTGTCTGTATGTTACGCATTGTATTGACATAAAATAAAAGCTTATAGCGCCTTGTAGGATCCGTCTTATACTGCGAAATAAACGATATCATCTCATCATATACTGCAATAGATGTAGTCTATCCTACGTAGATAGTAATTGTGTAAATACAATTAAAGTTCTTGAAGCTAACTTACCTACAGATATACTCGTAACATTATATTCTAGTGACACCTCAAGCTCAAGAGACTTGAAACTGACGTACTTTTTTGTTTCAGCAATTCGTCTGGAGTGATTTCTCAGAAGAATATATCCCAACCGACCGAAAACACACCTTCTACCCATCGGTGATCATCAACGAACATTTATACGAAGTCAAGATCACAGACGTTCCTGTCATACCGTATTTTCCCATCAATTCTTACTATGAATGGGCTCATTACCGTTTTTACGGACTCCGAAACGCTACAGCGTACATCTTAGTGTTCGATCTTTCAAACGTTGAAACATTTCAGTATATACGAACGCTTCGAGACCAAATGATAGAAAGCAGAGATATGAGAAATGTTCCAGTACTCGTAGTTGGTAATAAACAGGATCTATTATGTAGTACAACACCAACTGCGGCTACTGGATTGCAGCAATTGGCAATAGCTGAAAGTGCGTTCGGAGATTCTAGAGAAAAAAGACGGAACATAGTGAATCTTGTACGTAAACATTGGAAGTGTGGTTATGTTGAATGTTCAGCGAAATACAATTGGAGAGTTATAGCAGTGTTTAAGGAACTAATGGAGATGATAGATGCTGTAGAATGGAGTGGTGGTGGTAGAAATGCAGAGCCTCCTCCAGATTCCAATAACGCAGGTGGTACATCCCATGATAATCGTTGTGTGGTTGTCTAGCGATACTTGACGGTTCTGAAGGCTGCTTTGTTGGAACTTAGAATGGTTTATCAAAAAGTTTATAATATTGTAAAAGGTTTATGGGTAATGTTTACGTTTAGGCAAAACGCTTGAGCTGTGATGCTGATTGTACGGTGAAGTTGTTGTAGAATTTTCAATAATCGTTGTGTTATTAATATTCTGTGTTTTGATGTCACATGTTGTATTTGCTAAAATGTCTACCGTCGTTAAATTAGCTAGCCATTCTTTGAGATAATTCTCAGTTTTAATTAAAAAGCTACCTTTTGTTTATTAATTACTCTGATAATTTTCACGTTTACTTTACCTGCTTGAAATACGTTACTAATATTATATTTTGTCTCGAGTTTCTTATGTTGATCTTTGCTATATGAATTCATCGATTCATTAATTTAATTTTCTACTTGTAATGATTTTGTATTACAATTTCAAAATAATAACTTGCTCGGGAATGCCTTTACAACAATGTAAAGTCCACCAGTACTATCTAAACTGAAAAGTTTTACACCAAGTAACACAATAAAAGCTTATCCCTGCTTAAGTTCTCAAGTTTGTACTTTGTTGATATTCCTACTTTATTTGTAACATCGAGACTTATGTTTAAGTTTCAGATTTGTTGTTTCTAGAGTTCGCACATTGTTTAGAGACGTTTGTTATGGAGTCCTCATACGTTTTACATTTTTCAACTTGAAGTAACTGAAACGCACAATTACTAACTATAGTAGTTGCTAATTATTTTATTATGCAATTTGTTTTTAGTAATGTTAAAAAAATGAGTGTGTAAATGTATGTAGTGTAAATTAGGTTATAAAACAATGCTTATGAATTGTTTAAGTTAAGAAATATGTGTAAAATGTTAATTGAAAACGTAATAACTAAGTTCGTTACTTATTACTTACTTATTTACATACAGACAGATATTCAAAATTTTATCGTAAAGTAGAACAAATGACGAGCGCTCCGTTTACGCATTCATCCTGTGATTGGTGTGAATATGTAAATTCGACGTATTTAAGTTCATTATTTGTATCACTTAATTTAATAACGTCCCAAATGTTTACAGCACGTAATATTTTTCTAGAACTATTTAAAATAACATCGTTTCTTCGGAATTTGTAAAGAACCTTCTCTCCAGGGTACTTTTACACTTTTCTACTTGAATGAATCCTACCAGAATAATATACAGAAAATATCCTAAAAATATAAATTCTAATAAAGCTAAAAGTGATAGATAATTGCCAATATTCTTCCATTTACATATTTCTACATTGGCCATGACTTAAATTTTAAAAAGTGAATTATATTATGATAACATAAATAATCCCTTTCGAATCAAGAAAATAGAAATCAGCTACAGCTGATACAACAGCAACATCAACTGCAGTTGCTCCTACTATGTATGTAACATACATTTTGATCTTGTAAATATAAAATTATATACGGGAACAGCTGATATTCATTCGCGATGAGAGTACTAAAAGATATCTCAGGGAAACCAGGACTTGTACCAAAATCGATTGATTTCTTTTCAACTTGGGAACACTGATAAGGTGAAGGGTTTCAATTTTATTGGACTTTTACATTAATTGGTATGAAACCATGACAAGACATTCCTATCTTTCTACATAAGTTTTATTTTTGTGACCCTCCCTATCAACCTCTTAGTTACAGGGGAGGGGCACTTTAACCTGTCCAAGTAAACCTGCACAGAGACCTTATCAGTCAAGTCCTGACCCCAGACCAGCCATTTATACAGACTTCATCCGATTCTCAAAAGGTCAGTGCCTTGAGTCCAGCACCCTCCCTATTGTATAGATAGGTAGGTACTGGAGCTGTTGGCACGCTCACCTCCCGAAGCGCATTGCACAACTAACGGTTGCCACCGCTAACAGTTGGCTGTAAAGTCCACTACCAAATATCCACTTTGGCTACCGACACCGAAGCGTCTCTGGCTACACTAATTGTCTTATTATATTACGCTATTATGAACAGTAATCTCAGGTTAACCACTTTCGATATTGGTGAGTGAATAAATGACAAAAATCTGCAAGTATATACGTGTGACAGACAAAACTTCGTCTTTTCTAAAAGTCGTATCGTTTCAATCGTTATCGTTATCGTTTTCCGCAAGAGTGATCTCGAGTCTCAGCAGATTTTTGGCAAAATTATTTTCCAACAAAATAAATCACGTCATTGCGCTTACAGTTGGACGCTCTATTGTCGCAGTGCGGGTTGGCGTTGCCAGTTATACGTATTTGGCGATTGTCCCGACAGTGAGACCGCTCAAAAGATCGCAAACCGAATTCCGCTACAGGCCTATTGTTAAACAAAACTTTGTCATAATTGCTTCTGAGTGTTCACAACATATCGCGAGCATCGAATACGTGTCCTGGTCCTGTCATACAATACAAAGAGTTTTTGACAGTTCAGAAAATTAATTTCCGCTTTTTCGGATGAACATTGACACGGTAATATATAAGTTTTCGAATATAATTCACGTTCGAATGAAAGAGATTGATGAATCGTATTCTACGAAAATTACAGCGTGCAAAAACCTTTCCTAAAATCGCTGTGTCAGATTCTTTAATTGGCCGTACACAGATTTTAAAAGCTTATGACGAAATGCATATGAGCCTCAATTTACATTGCCGCGGGATGGAATGGAAGCAAACTTTCGTTACTATCGCTTAATTAGCTATAAGTCTATTGTGTAAGATATTCCCGCAGTCACGAGAATTCCCGTAGATAATGTGTCATATCTAGTCTCTACCTTACACAATTGACAGAAAGTGCGAAATGCTATGTACAATTTCGTTATAAAAATTAACTTCCATTCCCTTCCGCAGTAGGTACTGTAAATTATGTCTGTGTTAGAGTGTATAGCATACATAATAGAGTTTTAATGGTTTTTCCGATGCATCAAGGATACTTTCCGTTAAACACCGTAGCACCAGATCAGCACTGCCTCGCTTCAAAATAGGGTAACGATAAACGGACTGAAAGTTGTGTAACATAGATTTCAAAGACGCTACTAAGTGACACTATCATACTTAAATATTTACTTAGTTGCCAAATTGTACTTCGTTGCTAAGTCCATTTTTAATGCTCTATTTTAAGGTAGGTCGGTGCTGGAATGCTTTAGAGTTAAATAGATGACTACCTTTAATCTGGATCGTTTTTTAAGTTCTGATCTATGAATATAAATTTAAAGTAGTTACCTTTAAAATACATTTTGTAAAAGCGACATTAAATAACTCCGTGTTGTGCTTCTTCTACCTTCGTGCTTCCTTTACTGTTGTGCACTGGTCGACAAATTAAGCGACTCAAGAAATAACCTTAAATTTGAGTCCTAAATTTACCCGTAATTGCCTTGAACTTAATTATTTTGTTAAAAATTAATTACAGTTTTTTGCAAAAAGTAATATATAAATAGTTTAGAAATTTAATGTGTGTCAAAGTAAATGTAAGTTGAAATCAATTGTTCAAGTTATACATAACAAATTTATATCCAAGTTGCACTGATGAAATTTACTTTAAGTATATGTATTTAGGTAGGTATGTTGCTTGTGAATTTGTTAGTAATTATTATTTTGTAAGTTTTTAAAAATTAATTTAGTATATTTTTAAGTTTTTATTGAATGTTACGATGTTTTTCTACCATGATATTCAATTACTTTTTGTGAAATGCCTCCACTGGTTTGTTATAATTATTAATAACAAGGATCGATCGTTGGTGTATAAAATGTAATAAAATTTCATGGACGTAAATTTTTTTGTAACGCCTTCAAATTGGACGCTTATAGAAGCACTGCAGTGGCGCCATTGTTACTACTAATTTTCGTATAAGATTTAGGAGTGCAGTTGCAGCGCCGCTGTCGTGGCACGTTCGCGCCTCTTTTCAAGTCACAATAAGTGAAGTAAAAATTACTGAAGCGCTAGTCGCGTGGATAATAACAGCGTCTTGTATGAATGCGCCTTAAGTCAATTGGGGTAAAAACGCTTTCGAGGAGATTGTATTTTTTTAAACATACAAGAAAATAACAATTCCATCCTTTCTTCTTTGTTCTTTCATTGAACAGAAGTACAAAGGGAGTTTCAGAAAACAATTTAGAAACATACAATACAGAGTTTCGTTAAGTTACACGGACTATTCATTTACGTGGCCGTTCTGGTCTCTGGTTTTACAAAATGAAATATTCATAAATTACTCATTTTGATTGTGTTGAGAACTGTACCTCTACCATGAATTTACAATAAAAGCTGTCGCTAGGCACCGCGTAAAATAACTCACAATGTTTGTAAGGCAATTTGTACAGCGCCTGAAGTGGTTACAAATAGAAATAACATTTAGAATACAAAATATTTAAGGCGGTCGCTTGCGGCAACGGTCATTGTAAATTCGTGTTACAGGTACCTGTGCAATACTGCCGTGTCAAACCAATACACTGTAAAGTCACTTACAGTGTTTTGATTTAACAGCACTCATGTGATTTCTCTAGGCCTATATACCCTGACATTACAACACTGGAGGTATTAAGTAGTGTTTTCGAATGAGATATTAAAAACTAAAATACACTGCAGGTTTTAAAATTCACAAATTATTTTGACATAACACGGTACGCAGTTAATAGTCTTTTGGTTTGACAATTACGCGCGCGTAATACAGTACAGTGTTGCGGAGCGCCTGAGATAGCGAAAACTTTTGTCGCGACTTAAATTTTAACATTAAAATAAACAAACAAACCAAAACACTGCAAGGTTCAATACAGTGTTTTGTAATTTAATAACAACAAGAGTCTTTCGGCTTTTAACGAGGTAAAAGAAATTTATTCGTTTTTCAATAGAAATAATTTACTTTTCAAAGTAGAATTATAATGGTTAGATAGATTTCTTCTAATGTACAACGTAAGTTAAATGTATCTCTTTATGTTATTAACCTCAAAATCCTTTATGCAGCTTTTTCTCGAAATGCTCATTGAGATATTACAGGGTTTTGGTTTGACACGGTAGTGTGGTCTCGGAAACATAATGTTTTCTGGTAAATCTTTAAAAAGGCATAATTACCCGAGAGATGACTTTACCTCACTTGA